CTTGGCATGTTCACTATAGGCAGTAATGATGACATCTGCCAAATGTATTATAGGAAGTCAGTTTTATAGAGTGAGTCACGTGTTCATTTCAGTACTTGTCTATAGCTCGATTATAATATAAAACATATTTTACTTTAAATTCTTTGCTAGATATCTGTCTATCCACCATCTTTTTGGATTGGGAACCATTAGAGAGCTGGAACCTATTTTATTCATATTTATTATGCCTGTATCAAATTTTTATAATTTTAGACATTTTTAAGAATTACATCCTCTGATTAAAAAAGGAGTCATTCTCCAAAAGACTATAGACCAGTGCTTCTCAAATCTTACTATGCAAATAAATCACCTTGGATTAAAATATTGATTCTGATTGTGTAGCTCTGGGGTGTGGCCCAACATTCTGCATTTCTGTCAAACTCCCAGGTGATGCCCATGCTGCTAGAACCTGGACCAAAGTTTGAATAGCATGAGTCTAGGGGGAGCATTCCTGTGGCTGGGATACTAGGGTTCATGTTTAAACCAGAATTAACTCACTTACCCACAGTAGACAAGCAAGCTGCCAACAAACTATGGAAGAACACACAAACCACACAAGCACTGAACAAAGGCACAAATTTAAAAGACAGCACTCAACTCCATTTCTGTCTTAGGAAGCTAATAGACCCAGGTTCTGATAAATACTATGGTGTGTCCATGGTTACCCTGCTGACAAGACCAAGAATATACTAAGTACATAGTCGTAAGGTGATCATGTACTAGCATTTGGGCAGCCTGTTGGAAGAATGATACAGAATCAGATATTTGCTTTTGTTTGCAGGCAAATGCCATGTGCCCCTTGTTCCTTTCCCTTTCTCCCTATCTCTCACCTGTGTTGCCACGCCCTGGCCTGCTGGATCACAGCTGCTGGCGATGCCTGCTAATCATGTTTGTTGGTTATGAGATGAGTGAGATTAACAGCGTCTTAACCTGTCAGATTAAATAAAGCTGCCTCTGGAAGTCTGACTAGAATATACTGGACAAAAGTCCTAGAGCTTTTGTAGTGGAAATTCAGTCTTCATGGCATCCTTGTACGTTTTGTAACATGGGCATGCTTAAATTTGCATTCTGCTCTGAATTGTGCTCTCATTTAAAGATTTCTAAAGAGAAGCTATTGATACTACTATACATAGATTTTTCTGTTGAAGTTAAAATATTTGGCCTTGAAATGTGGAACTGTGCATTTGAGAAATGGTGGTTAGGATATCTAGACTGTTGAATTTAAAAATTATTTGAGAAGCCACAGACTTCTAGGTGGCCTTTAATTCTATTTTTAATCCACAATTTTGAGCTAAAAGGTGACTTTTAGTAGTCACATGATGAGGTCAGTGGCTAGGGAACCTTCATGATCTGTGTCGTCCCCTCTGGAGGCAAGGATTTGCCAATTTAATGGGCACCATTCCATTGATTCACCAGTTCTTGTTTTTGCCTTTTCTCCTCCTTGTTTGTTTCCTGTACCCTCAGTGCATCTCAGCCTTCCTGTGGCATGCAGCTAATGGATAGATGATGTTGGTAGGGTACCCAAGAGTAAACAGAAACGGCCTTTGGTAGCCAGAGGCAACCAGCCAGGGGCTCTGAGGGATCAGCAGCTCTGACTCCTGTTTCCCAGGCTTACGCAGTTTGGATTTGGAAGTTCTGCTTTACAACTACTATTCAGGCCTCTGTGGAATTAGATTTCTTCACTGTGTTACGTGTGGCCAGTAGTCATTTTAAGTAGAATTGCTTATGTTAAAGAAGTCTTATTAAGACTTAGGTTTTAAAATTAAATAGTAGATAGAGTTTTATTTATATGCTTTATAACCTACATGTATATTTTTCTTTTGATAGTATCACATTTCACAGTAAAAATAAATTATTAAGAATCTTTAGAAAGAAAATCTTAGCATAATTCTTATTCTTGCCCCCTGTCATATTAATATTTTTAAATTACAAAAATAATAGGGAAAAGTAGGGGAAAGGAACATGTATTACACCAATCCCTTAATGTAATTACTATTTCATTTATTGTCTTCCAATATAAATGTTTATTAATGTTTATGTTCTTAGTTATAGTCATAATGTATGTAGCTGTATATCTTTATATATCATACAACGGATTGGTGGGCTTTATAGGCATTATTTTTAATAGCTGAAAATATTTCTCTGAGTGGTTAGTATCACTATGTACTAACCATTCCTGTATGGTAGAATATGTAAGTTTTTTAAACTTTTCTGCTGTTACAGAATATTTTCAGGGTTTTTGCATTCATTCCACAAATAATTTGCCCATGTGTAAGGCATTCTGCTACATGGTAGACTTATAATGGTAAGCAAACAGACTCATAATCTCTGTTCTCATGGAATTTAGAATCTAAATACTAACAGTTCCTGATTGTATTTTGCATTTTAATCACATTAGTCCTCAGACTTTTAGAAAAAAAACTTTATTTTGAGGGAATTGTAGATTTACATGTAGTTGTGAGAAATAATACAGAGAAATCCTAAATATCCTTCACCCAGTTTTCCCCAGTGATGATGATATCTTACGTAACTAAAATACCTCCATAACCAGAAAACTGACATTAACACAAGCACCAACTCATTCAGATTTTACCAGTTTTACATGTATTCATTTGTGTGTGTGTGTGTGTGTGTGTGTATGCAGTTTTGTCATATGTGTCTATTGGTGTGACCATCACCATAGTCAAGATTCAGAACGACTCCATCACAAGGATCCCTTATGATACTCTTTTACCCCCATGGCTGCCTCTCTTCTCTCTTCCCTAACCCCTGGCAACCATAAATTTGTTTTCTGTCTCTATCATTTTATCATTTGATGGATGTTATATAAATGGAATCACCCAGTAGGTAACTTTGTGGGAGTGGACTGGAATTTTTCACTCAGCATAATTACTTTGAGATTCATCCAGGTTGTTGTGTGTATCAGTAGTTTGTTCATTTTTTTATTGCTGAGTGATATTCCATTATATGGATGCACCACATTCATAGGTCTCTTGGATCTATGAGCTGTTTCTGGTTTTGCTTTAGTATGACTAAAACTGCCATGAACAGTTCCTCAGCCTTTATTTTGATCATGTGTAAAAGGAAATTAGTAAGACTTCAGGCCTCTGTAGTTCAGCTGCCAGCATCTAGTCCCACAGTCAGGGCATCTCTGTAGAATGCACAATAAGCCTCTGATGAATGGCATGGTGTTTGGGCTTTAATATTTTGTGCCTTGGGATATATTACTTTGCTTATATAGCTAAAATTGTCTTTCGTTTTCATATCTATTTATTGTCTTAGTCTGTTCAGGCTGTGGTAACAAAATACCATAGACTGGATGGCTTATAAATAACAGAAATTTATTTGTCACAGTTTTGGCAGCTGGAAAGTCCGAGATTAAGGTGCCACCAGATTTGGTGTCTGGAGAGAACCCACGTCCTTGTCCATAGACATCTGTCTTTTTGCTATAAAACTTCATGTGGCAGAAGAGGTGAGGGACCTCTCTTGGGCCTCTTTTATAAGGGCACTAATCACCTTCCAAAGACCCCACTTCTAGATAGGGTTACCTTTGGGGGTTAGGATTTCAATGTATGAATTTGGGGGGACATAAACAGTCCATTACATTTTTGTAGCAGTGAAATATATCCTTCTGCCATCGCTGTTGTCCTGTAGAACTTACAAAGGGGGAACTCTGACTTTCTGTTGAGCTTTTTGTCCCTTGAGGAATGTGGGACCTGTCAGGGCTGCTATGTACAGAGAGGTTGCTCCATAGACATTCATTCAGTGAGCGCCTTTGATTTTTATTGTTCATTGAGGGTATTTGGAAAGGATGGGATACACAGAGGGATGTGTAAGGTACATTTGGACTTTAAAGCCCTGATCTTACTATAGTAACTCCAAAAAAAAAAAAAAAAAAAAGTTTAGATCAGACACTTAGCTTTTTAGATTTTCATTGTTTTTATTTCTTTTGAATAAATGGACATGGCCCTCACTTTCTGAGAAAGACATGAAGCTCAGGAACACATGGGCTGAGCAAGCACTTTGCTTTATAACTGTGGCTGACCTTGCCACAGTGATGACTGACCGGGGACCTGCCCAGAGACTTGGTGAGCAGCACCAGAGCACACCACAGGGGCAATGTGGCCTCTGCCCCTCTGCCAGTGAGCCAACAGTTGGGAGCCCCAGAAAACAGTTCCATTATCCCAGTTTGCTCCCTTGCTTTTTGCTGCTTTTTCTGTCCCATTGCTCTTAGGAAAAAGTCTAAAACCTTTAACTGGAGATAAAGTCTAAAATCAGATCCCAAAGTAGTCTGGTCCCTGCCAACCTCTCTGAGGCTCACCTTGGGCCATGCAACTGATTCACACTCTGCAGTCCACCTTCCAGGTTGTCTTTCCATAGCTTCGTCATAGCTTCGTGTTCATGCCCACTCAGGTCTGCAGTGCAAGCTGTTTTAGTTCTTCGTGGAACACCATTTACCCTCCTTCCTTCCACCTGTGTTTGTCAAGGTCTCCTCTGCACCTCTCAGATCTTGGTTTAAACAGTTTCCTCACAGAAGCCTTCCTTGACCCATCAGATGAGGCTCGAGTGATTCCACAGGTACTGTGGTACCCTGTACTTTCCTTCACTGCACTCACCCCATCTGTGATGCTCACTGACTCTTGATTTACTGGTATCACTGTCTCCCCCTGCCCACCGGACCCTCGGGGAGATGAGGACCGTTTCTCTTGTGCACCATTGATTCTACCATGTCTAGTACAGTGTCTGGTACATAGTTGCTGCTCGATAAATATTTGTTGAATGAGTTAATTAAATCAGGGAAATGACCATGCCCAAAATGTCCTTAATGGGTGTGGCAAGGAATTTATTACTTTAAAATGGAATTAGCACCTATTTTTGAAGGTCTAGTTATGTACTCCTATAAAATTATTGTACTGTCCTAGAGATCTGATAACTGTAATTCATATTTTTTTTTCTTTCAGGTGGGGACCAGGGCTTACTGAACACATTTTTTAGCAGCTGGGCAACAACAGATATCAAAAAACACCTGCCATTTATTTATAACCTAAGCAGCATTTCTATATACTCCTACCTCCCAGCGTTTAAAGCGTAAGTCCAAAGGGTTTGCCTTTTGTTGGGGATGATAAGGACAGGGGAGTGGGGTTTAAAATTTTGGGGGTGCCCCATTATCATTCTGAGAAAAATAATGGGTGGGAACTTTGAGGAAAGTCTGTCTGCTATAGAAACGTGGCTGTAATGGGGAGAAGCCTTTGTGGTATCTGTGGCCTTATTCTTGGAGTATCCGAGGGCTTTTAGCTGCCTTACAGGACAAGGTTCCCAGCAGTTCCTGGGGTGCTTGGCCCTCTGGTAAACCATCCATGTGTCACGGTCAAGAACAAAGACTGTAAGCTCTGCAGACTTAAAACTTGAAGGGGCTGAATTTGGGCACAGACTCAACTTCTGCCTCAGACTGGCTGCTGGGCTGCTTCTGTTTCCCTCAACTGCAGAAAGAGGGTGTTGAAAGCGCCCTCCGTGGTGGTTGTGAGGATGAAGCAAGATGCTGGCAGCAGTGTGGTGTTGTGGTTAAGAGTAGGGGCTCTGCCGCTGGATGACCTCAGGACGCAACCCGGAGCAGCCACTTACCAGATAGTGTCCTTGGGCCAGGTACTCACCTCTCTCTGCCTCAGTGTCTTCATAGGGTTATTGTGAGAGTTAAGGGAGGTCATCATGTAAAGTGGTTAGACGAGGACCTGGCCTACCATACTGCTCAGTAAATGCTAAGTTATTAGTCATTTTTGTTTAAGAGGCAGTGTAGAGTTGAGAGTAATCTGTGAAGCCAGAATGGCAGGGCATATGTCCTCACTCCCTCGTGTTTCTCCTACATGACTTAAGACCGTGCCTCAGTTCCTCTATATGTAACAAAGAAGAAAATAGTACCTGCCTCATAGGGTGGTCAAGAGGATGAAGTGAGTTAATACACACAAAATACTCCGTGGACATTTGTTGTTTGTTTTTGGTAACGTGCTTGTTTAGCACAGTGCCTGGTGCAGCTTTGATTAATACCTTGCAACTAATACAGCCCTGTTGCAATATTTTTATCTCACTATGAGGCCCTGGATGCTGTTCTTTAGCCTCTGAGTCATTTGTGTGGAACTGAGAAGATGATTCAGATTTCTTGAACAGGGGCCTAGCTGTCAGGTTTGATCCTGAGACACAGCCGTGGGCAGCGAAGCCCTTCATTGACTGGGCTTTTTTCTCCAAAACCATCCCGTTTGGGCATTCCCGAGTGAGCGGAAAACAAAGGGTCTTTCATTCCTCTTCTTCATTGTCCAAAGTCCTCTCCACAAGTCTTGCACCACAGTGATGAGCATGGCTGGCTTTCTGTGGCAGAAATGTTTCCTTTTCTGTTCTTTCTTGGGAAGCCTCTGTCAACGTTCCCCAGATAAGGCTTACAAGCATCTGTGTTCTTTCCTCTCGAACTGTTCTCTTGGCATATGTCTCCAAAATTTTACAGCCTCTTAATTCTCTTCCCCTTCTACAGTGAGACAGGCAAACTCTTAAAACATAGCAACTGTGTTCTGAGTAAAGCAAACAACAGGATTTACTATCGAGGGAGGGATAAGAGAAGCATTATTTTTGCCTCTTAGTCCTTGGCCTTGTAAAATACAAATCTGTCTTCCTTGGCATTGTGGACCTGATTCATTTCAATTCTTATTACTTCATAACTAATCCTGCAAGTTTGAACAGTGTTCCTGCAAACCATGATAGCTTGACCCCCTAGAGCCAAATTTGCCTATTATAGGGCAGTCGCTTATAATTTAATTGACTAAATTCAGCAAAAAGATGAGAGTTCAAAGGAGAAAGAATTTTTTTTTCTTTTTAGACACAGTCTTGCTCTGTCACCTGGGCTAGAGTGCTGTGGCGTCAGCCTAGCTTACTGCAACCTCAAACTTTTGGGCTCAAGTGATCCTCCTACCTTAGCCTCCTGAGTAGTTGGGACTACTATTTTTAGTAGAGATAGGATCTTGCTCTTGTTCCGGCTGGTCTTGAACTCCTGACCTCAGGTGATCGTCCTGCCTTGGCCTCCCAGAGTGCTAGGATTACAGGTGTGAGCCACCACACTAGGCCACAAAGAATTTTTAATAGTGTGGCTGTTTTACTCAATTCTGCATAGTTAGCATGTGGTTCAGGTTGACTTCATCTGATTTTCCACCTTACCATCATTGAGCGTACTGTATCTTTTAGGGATAGCCTGGTTTGCACAGACATTGCTTGAGATATTTTTAACACAGAAGAACAAGAAGCAGATGGAGAAGAATTAAGTTTTGAAGGGCAAGATGGACTTATTTGCTAGAACCTTTGCCTTCTCTCTCAGGAACCCAGTTATTTTTATATCCTCTAAATGAATTTCCCCAGAAAACAGTTTGAGATCAAAATTACCAAAATGATTAGGATGATTTCTTTCTCCTGGCTCAATGCATGAGTGCTTATTATTAATTTTGGAAATCTCCTTGGTTTATTGCCATAACCATAGAGTATATGATATACTGGGCAAGTCAGGAGAAATTCCACCCATTAGCCAGACTTCCTCTGCCCATTGCTGACGAAAGTTGATGCTGCTGTGATATGGCTCACCCTTGGGGTGTCAGCTGTGCATTTCTGTGATTAGACTGCTCAAAGCCATGCCTTGTCTCACCCCATTGCTGCCTATTTAGGAATGCTGAAACCAGATCAAAGAACTCATATTCCCTTCCCTTTGCCAGAAAACGTTTTTTGTTTTTCTTGCAGAGACCCGTTTCCAAGGACATTTTTTCTTATATTCCCTTGAATTTGGGGAGGGCTGAAAAGGCACAAGTAGTTACATTTCTTTTTTATTTTAAGTTAATGTAAATTCGTGGTCCAAATCTTTTTAAACTGAAGTAGCCTATTATGAATATTCGGACCACCATAGCTATTCCTCAAGGAGCCCTGTGAATTTGAAGCCCCATTGTTGGGTTCAGAATAACCTAGGTGATCTCCAGGACCAACTGGCTGGCCTTCCCTAGGTCAGTATGGGTGGTGACAGGTAGAATGGGATACCCTGAAGTAGTTTAGAGCTACTTGGGCTTAACAGAAGAAGGAGTCTAGGATTTGTCTCACCAGCTGCAAACAACCATGTGCTATAAGATCACCAACGCAGTATTTAGACACCTCAGAATCTTAGAGTCATGGATATCTAGAACAGAGTGACTTTTACTATTACATGAAATTTCAGCTAAAGGATGGCCTGATATGAAGCAAACTTAATATGAATTAGAGCCATGAAGTAACATATCTAATGCCTTTCTCTGTATAGCCTTTGGGTAGAACAAAGCATAAAAGAAGCAAACTTAATAGTTTTACCACTTTATGACTCAAACATAATTTCTGAAAAACAAAATGCTTGATTTAGCAGTTTCTAAGTTAATTTGTACTACTGTGTTTCCCCGAAAATAAGACCTACCCATAAAATAGGCCCTAGCAGGATTTCTAAGCATTTGTGCAATATAAGCCCTACCTGGAAAATAAGACCTAGTGATGGGTGTGGCTATGCAGCGGATCGGCACAACCCATGCATTTTGTCACAGAGTGGTAAAGAAGACAAGCAGCCCTTCTCATCTGCCCCACGAGAGCTCTATTGCTGGACATGAGAGATTGCAGCCAATGGTTCTAAAGGAAATAGAGTTGCAAGAAATTCAGGATGGAATTCGGGGTTTGGAGAGTTATGATGATGTTCCAGAAGAAGATGACTTAACTATATTTGAATAAATGTAGATTGTTGTGCCGTACTTAAAAATAATAACACATCCCCTGAAAATAAGCCCTAGTGTGTAGTGTGTCTTCTTTTTTTTTCTTTCTTTTTTTTTTTTTTTGAGACAGAGTCTCACTGTGTTCTCGCTCTAGAGTGCCATGGCATCAGCCTAGCTCATAGCAACCTTAAACTCCTGAGCTCAAGCAATCCTTCTGCCTCAGCCTCCCAAGTAGCTGGGACTTCCGGCATGCATCACCATGCCCAGCTAATGTTTTCTATATGTATTTTTAGTTAGCCAATTAATTTCTTTCTATTTTTAGTACAGATGGGGTGTCACTCTTGCTCAGGTTGGTTTTGAACTCCTGACCTTGAGTGATCCGCCCCCCTAGGCCTCCCAGAGTGCCTAGGGTGTCTTCTTGAGGAAAAAAAATAAGACCCTGTCTTATTTTCGGGGAAACATGGTATTCACATTGGAAAGTAAGTTATAAATATATTTCTTAATGAAATAATATTTTTGAAAGTACCTAGCATAATGTTTGAGATATAGTAGGCTTTTAATGAATGTTAGTTTTTGTTAACTTTTCTCCAACTGGAGGGCCTGTTTCATCCATGTAGCATAGAATTTGGTTTGTGCCTAGTGCTAGAAAAAAATCTCATTAGTCTTTTTAAAATCAGTTATTTAGTTCCATTTCTGCTTTCTATTATATCCACTGACCAAAAGCTCTTTGGGTCATATTATGCTATGAAGAACAGGCCTAAAGCAAAGATACAGAATTCTCTGGCATTGTTTCAGACCACTACACAAATTAATTGGTCACATTGATTCAGTACAAAGCCTAATTTACAAAATAATTTCCATTTAAATATTTTATTTTACCCTTTTACTTGAGTACAAATATGACCTGAGACCTGGCCTAGTGAGAGTTGACATTTTTTTTTCCATTTATTGTACTGCTTTGAGCTCTTTTGAGGATATTCATATCCATTTCTTTTTTAAGAATCTGATTCATTCACTAAGACTTTATCAAACCTACTTAAAATCAACATTTTCCCCAAAGAAATTGAACCTTTGGCGTCCTAAACTGTTTCTAATTTGATTGTTTTTTTTTTTTTCAATCTCTGAGACCCCCTGGCTCCAACTTTCCTCATAACTATTGTTGTTGAAACCATAGCCTTTCTGTTTTCATTTCTTTTCACACTCCTCCATCTTCACCCAAAACCCTTAGGCTGACCCAGAAAGAGTTTGGATCACTCCCCCCCCCCCAGTTATTTTGTTGGTTCACTGTTCGTTCAATCGGCAGAGCAGGAGCATGCATAATGCACCACACATGCAGCACTC